GGTGCTGCACCTCAGCTGTCAATGAATGACTTAGATGAAATGAAGGAATGTGGTTACTAAATTTGGTGATGACACCAAGATAAGTAAAAATGCAAATTGTGAAGAGGATATCAGGAGGCTATGAAAAGACATGGGGGGTGTTCATTGATTTTCAGTGTCATTTGTGACTCCTCAGACACTGAAGCAAACCATGTTTAAACGCAGCAAGACCTGTACAAATTCCAGGTTTGGACTGAAAAGTGGGGATTAACATTCATGCCACACAAGTGGCAGGTAATGACTACTTACAATACAAGTATATCCAACCACCTCTAGTTTACATTAAATAACATTAACAGAACTGAATCCCCCTACAGTGAAAAATATAAACTGTATTGGACAAGCCATTCAAATAATTTAGACACATTAGCAGGTCAGAGATTGTCAGTTCTGTGGTGTTTAACTCACCTCCTGTTATCCAAAGCCTGTCCAACATCTATAAGTGCAAGCTAGGAGTGTGATAGAATTCTCCCTGCTAGCCTGGGTGCGGCCCCAACAACCCTCAAATTCTGACACCAGTCAGGACAAAGCTGCCTATTTGACTGGTATTTTGTCCATCATCTTAAAAGGTTCATTCTGTCCACCATCAATGTGCAGTGGCAGCAGTGTGCACCATTTGAAAGATACATTGTTTCACTAAGGCTCCTTATACAGAACCTTCAAAAACTGCAATTTCAATCATTTAGAAAGTCCAGGCAGCAGATTCTTGGGAACATGAGCACCAGCTGTAAGTTCCTCTCTGATGTACACACCATCCTGATTTGGAACTATATCCTTATACCTTCACTGGTGGTGGTCAACATCCTGGAACTCCCTTGTGAACAGCATTGCAAATGTACCCACTCCTATGGAATGCTTATATTATTACGCCTGATACCAATTAGACAGTGACAAATGAGTCCAAAATCAAGACTTTTCTTTCAATTCCATCCCCCCCGAAGCTCTTTTATCCCCATCCAAATGTTATGGACAAGACTAAATCCCTTCAAATCATAACAAGGACTGCAAAAACTCCAGCTGCACCAACAGAAAGCAAAACTAAAACCCTGGGTCTGTATGAGGTTGACACCACCTACACATGCTTCTTTTGTTTAATTTTTAAAAAGCCCAAAGCTTCAGAAAAAGGAGGAGAAGGGTCTAGGCCCGAAACGTCAGCTTTCCTGCTCCTCTGATGCTGCTTGGCATCCAGCTCGACACCTTGTTATCACCCATTATTTTCTGCCTGTTTTTAAAACAGAAAGGTTGTTCTACAGGAACAGCTCCAACACAAAGCCTTCAAACAAGCTGCAAGGCCTCTGAGCAGCCCAGGTAACAAACAGCAACACCTTGAAAGTGGGAGAAGGACTCCCACTTATTAGTTCCAACTTTAACTTCACCTGAGAACCGATCACCTGGAAATTTGACTACAAGTAGCTTTACAGGGAAAACCTTTCTTTTAGAAGACCTTCACTTCAACTAAAGCATTAGCCCATCTAAGGAATGACAGGCCAGCCATAAAAGTGACTGAGATAATCTTAATTCATAATTGTGTTGCTTTACAATAGTCTGCATCTAATATTTGTGTGTATAATAGTGAGTGAGTTACGTAGTTAAATATTAGGGTAAACATGCTAATAAGTAGTATTTCTTATTTCTCAGACTTAAAAGAAGCTTGCTGTTAGGATTATTTTATTGGAGAATATTGGAGGGTAAGAAAATATCCATTCCTTAACAATAAACCTATTAATCTCACTTCCATTCTGGCTTCATTTTACCGCCCACAATTCCTGGAACAACTCGGCACTCAATAGATATCTTACTAAAGACAGGCATTCCTTGCATCTGCACCATCTTTAAAAGGTTGCCGCGGACCCAGAGGAGCACTGACATCCTGAAACTAGACTGTTTGGTGGCAGACAGAATCTGAACATGTCAGAGAAGGGTAAGTTGACACACAATTCTCTGAACCACTCTCATCCAAAGCTAATGTAAAAGTCATATTACGGTCATATTTCTTAAAGACTCTTTCACAGTAAGTTTATTAACTAGCTCTTTCTCATTATATAACACTACATCTAAAATAGCACTTTCTCTATTCGGCTGATCAAAGTGCTGCTCCCATCTCATACACACTCCAGGAATTTAGCTCCACAGCACTAGTATTGATTGGTTAACTTAGTCCATGTATAAATTCAAGTCACCCATTATTACTATCAGAATGTAAAAACTAAGAGGAGGAATAGGTAACTTAGCCCCTAAAGCCTGTTCCACTATTTAGTAAATCACAGCCGATCTCATTTCGGCCTCAATTCTGCTTTCCCGCCTGCTCCTCCTTTCACCCAACACTAAATTAAAAATCTGTCTCTCCTCCTTAAAATTATTCGATATCACTCCTGGGTAATGAATTCCACAGATTCATGACTCTGGGAGACGCAATGTCTTCTGATCGGTTTCAAATCTGCCGCCCTTATCCTAAAACTGACCTTTTATTCTAAATTGCACGACAAGAAGAAACATCAAATATACATCCATTTTGTCAATCCCTTTTAGCATCTTCCATGCCTCAATTAGATTTCCTCTCATCCTTCTAAATTCTTGCAAGTATAAGCCTAAACTGTTCAATCTCTCCTCACCCCTAGAATTAATCTAGTGAATATTCTCTGAACTGCCTCTAATGCAATTATATCCTTCCTCAAGAAAAGAGGACCAAATCTGCATGAAGTACCCCAGATATGGTGTCACCAATGTCTTGTAAAGTTGAAGCAACATCTCCCTAATTTTACACTCCATTCCTTTAACATTAAATGCCAAAATTTAATTTGTCCTCCTTATTTCCTGCTATACCTGGATACTAGTGGTCTGCGAATCACATGCAAGGATGCTCAGCTTTCTCTCCTTCAAAGCATTTTGAAGTTTCTCTTCATTTAGATAATAAGTTGCCTTTTTACTTTTCAAACCAAGGTGGGTACCATATCAACCATATTACTTGCATCTCTAACTTCCTGATTTATATCATGCTCAACATTATCACTACAGTTTGGTGGAAGTCTGTTGCTCCTTAGTTCCACCACAACTGATTCTAACCCTTGCTCCATCCAAATAATACTCTCTCTTATTAATGTACTGATCTTGTGTCCTGAACAGAATGCTATTCCCTCCCTTTCCTTTTTGCCTATCCCTCATTAAATACTGAACATCCCTGAATATTCAATTCCAATACTGGTCACCCTGTAGCCATGACTCTATAATGAGAAGTAAATCATTCCCATTTATCTCAATTTGTGCATTCAAATAGTCAGTTTGTGAATTCCATATACATTCAGATAGAATGCCTTAAATTCTGTCTGTTTTGAACATTATTCTCTAATCTGATCCTATTTGATATTTGCTGTTGCTTTTTATGTCATTATTTTTTCTTCCTACTTTCTTTTATCAGTTCTGTTTCTCTTGAATCTGAATTCTCTGTCAGGTTCCTGCCGTCTTCCAATCAAATTTAAATCCTCCCCAACAACACTAGTGAATCTCCTTGTGAGGATGTCAAACCTGACCCTAACAATAATAACTGCCTATTTACAATGTACTTCATTACTATTCCCAGGAAATTAAGGTGAGGTGACTAATCGTGACAGCATGAAATAACTCCACAGAGGCCGGTCCCTAGCACAGGCTCATCAGAGTCAGTCGATGGAATCCGGAATCTCCGACACTCTATCAGCCAGGGGTCACTGACTGGACTACATTAACACCCCAATCAGTGAATTCATATTCTATGAGGTCCACCTGGCTGACCTGGTTACAATTACTACACACCACTCCAAAATTTCCTAAGATCCTCTGCACTGTTCCATTACCTCTGTAACAGTGACAACTCTATTATCATAACTCCTCTTCACCCATAAACTCAATGTCAATGTTCAATTAACACTACTTTGCTCTATCACTTAGATTATACCAGAAAGACAATGACAGTCTGTCAACAGCACCATTTAGTCTGTTATGATCAATTTCCATTAAACAAAATATCTTTATACAGTACCTTGGTAACATACTTCTCTAATGCAGTATTAATTATGTTTCAACATCCCAGCTGCCCAGAAAGTTTCCTGTTTCATAGAGTTGCACTTTTAAACCTGCCTAATGTTTGTATTGATTAACTGACCTCTCACCAGGTATTGATGGCAGCTGTTAATCTTAACATACTGCATTGATCCAAATAGTTGTTTCTTTCAGGATTCATGTGGATAAATGCACTTGCACAACAATGAGACAGGGCATTAGTAAGAAATTTGTTAAGGAATAAATGCAAAATTGATGGATATAAATAGTTAGAATGTACTTGCAGCTGCTCTGAGACAGAGATATTTGAGCAATCAATTCTAAAATAACTAAGTGCTACAGGCCTTGCTTTAAAATGTTAATATATGAAAGCTATTTCCCTTCCTTGAAGTGCATTTTCTATCAATATCTGACAGCAAATATATTTGTCAACGGGCACTGACTGCATCCTCTCTAGTGTATTCCAATCAGCTTCCTGAAAATGTTGGTGTGCACTTATCAGTGAAGGAAAGCTGGACACAGTGCTCCAACACTGAGGTCGGGGCCAATGTTCAATCACAGAACCATAATATTTTGCAAAATCCTTGCTCTAAAATGAGAATGAAAAATAAATGCTCGGACACACTTTTGTCCACTAAGTCAAATAAAAAGAAATTTAGGATCCAGGCACGTCTTGTGAAACACTTTAAAACAAACAAATATCACTCAAAAATTAAACTGTGGATAGGGATTAACAATTATTCATGAATTTAGGAAACGGAATTAGACCAGAAATTAAAACAAATTGAGTATGGACAGCCACATCATGCTAATTTCCTAAACCAATGACAATATCTTATTCCTACGGAAAATCAGAGTAAATAAGAACAAACTATACCACATTGTTTTTAATTACTGCAATGATAGAAATAAAATGCAGAACTCACCTTCTCATAGTTTTCAATTAGAATTTCCACAACAATGTTCTGAAACTTGAGGTCCATGATGGCTGCAACCGTTTCTTCCTGTGCTCGCATCAGAGTTGGTCCAAACACTACACCAAGATTTGCAATGGTCATCAAGTTCTGCTTTGAATTATTAGATACACTGGAGAGAAGAAGTAGTAAAGTAACTACAAATTGTTGTGCTATTTGTGTAGCAAACCTGGCATTATCTACATGAATGACTTGGAAACATTTTCCTGTGTGTCATGGTACCATTATGATAGCGAAAGCTAATAAAATGATAGCATTGACTGATATGGCTATTGTGAGACAAAATTCAAGTCATGTTATTCACCATACATTTATTCACTACTGACAACAAAACAAAAATCTATTTTGACTATCATAATTGAATAACATCAAGTGATGAATGAATGCACACATTCAATGACTGAGGTCCACTTACTTTATCATTCTAATTGCAGCCATGTTTTGAAGAGTAATTTCATAAAAAGGGCGTGACTGGAAAAACAATTAATTACGGATCTTTCTCAATCATTAGTTGCACAGGAGGTGATAGACTGTGGTTTATCAGGTCGTGGCATAGAATTCATGAATGGGAGTTTTGTTTTTACTATCAGGGCTGCATTGTGAGTTGTATCATTATTTTCTTGGTTGCATGAGTGTTCAGATCAGTCCAGGGTGGACACTTGCTGAGTTAGCTTGGGAGGTATAAAGAGCCATGTGATAGATGGAAGAGACATGTATTGACAAAATGTAAGTGGCCATGGCACTCAAGATTCAACATGGAAAGTAAAAGGGCCATGGGAGGCAGGTGGAGGAGAGGGTTAGAGGGCCTAAAATCTTATCACACAATTAAGGTAAAGTCCCAGAGAATCAAGGCATGTCTTCCAACCACTCAGCCGTTGGATGTGAAGGCTGTGATACTCTGTGCTCTTTTTCTCCTTTGAGGACAATCTATATGCACTTTCCTCAGCAAGAGAAGTCTGGGCTTGAATCTCCCAAAGTCCCAGAAAGATTTTGTAGGCACCAGGTTGTAAAACGTGCTGTTAAATATCATTTTACTTCTAAGATGAAAAGGAAAAAATTAACATTTTTACTTGTTTCGCAATGCCACAGAAAAGAAGGAAGTGGAAGCCACTTTGGAAAACAGATTATTACAGTTTTCCTACAAATCATTACATACCACAGGCAGACAACAGAGATCAGCAGAGAGAAGAGGTCACTGAATTCTGTGAACCACAGCTAGATACAAGAAGGAAATGGTCTCCAGTCAACCTATCATGTAGCCCTCAGATTCTGGGAGATTTGTTGTTCTGACATAGCCATCGTGAAGAAGTAATATTGGAACACGTTCTATTATTGCTGGTGGATTTATGGAGCACTCCATAAGGACTGAGGTAAGCATCTTGAAATATTCATTCAATGTTACTGCTTAGCAAACTGGAGATACATTTGGAACCCATTGGAAGCCATGAGCATCTGCAAACTACTTGCTTAAAGGACTATAATTCTGTGGAGAGTAAAATGGGTGACAAAATAAAATGGAATACTTTTTTTTGTAGATTAAACTAAAGGTTGCCTTTAAAAAGAAAATACCATATAATTATTAGTGCTTTTTGTTGCAGATAAATTTTAAAATGAGAGATTTTGCTTGGTCATTCTTTCAACAAATAGCCTAACGTTTGAATCTCTTTTTTAAAAATATGGATCTCAATGGAATGTCTAAAAATTACAATTTCTACAATTAACAACATAATGCCTGAAGCAAAAGGTCACTCGTTAACGTAAGGAAAGAGGGAGGTTATGGGATGAGAAAGATTGGTCGAAGTAGTTTTGGAAGACAACCTTTAATTTGTTCCTTGTAGCCTCTTGTTGTCCTATTTGTAAATCTGTGTACATTCTGACTTAGACGTAAAACTATGTTCGTCAGATTTCTTAGCACAGCCCCCTTCTTGTCAAGCCAACCAAACCTGGAGTGAAATTCCCTCTGTCCCTCCTCCATCAGCTCAGCTAAACCAAGTTCACCTCTGATAAAGAGGTTAATAACTAAAACCCCAAACTAGTGAATGCATGCTCATTACAACTTCAATCAGCATTTATTTTTAGTAAAAAATATTTCAAGTTCACTTCATCTACATTCACACAGGCAAACATCATCAAATACTGAACTTCTGTTCCTCACTAATTGTTACACTCAGCATATGAATCTAAAACACATTTTGTTGTCTGCAAATCATCAGGGGGCAATTCTTCAAATGGGCTCAGAATTTAAATACTAGGGCATAATTATGAATGAAATATCAGTGTATTCATCCAAGTAGCTGTGTCAATACCAAAAATATCCTTCTGGGTTACGTGAGCGAACAAGGAATTGCTCATATATCAAATGAGGAGTAGACAATGAAAGCAACATATTTGAACAATACGACTGCATTTTCAATGGCCTGAAAATCATTATTTCAGTGTAAATGGGAGTTGCACACAGGGATCCTGTGAAATCCCCATTGTAACATACTCCAAAGGAATTGCCCCACAAAAATTGGATTTTCCGCGGGGCAATACATCCACATCTTGAATTCTCCAAAAGTTTCTGTTTAAATCAGACACAAAGAATTCCAATGAAAGTAAGTAAAATAGTTACTCAGCAAATGTTAGACTATTAAATACATAGTTTGACTCCTGAATAGCTATTTCAACTGCCCCCACACTTATTTCACACACCCTTAACTACACCTACCCCAGAGACTGTCCCCTGCCAATCAAATTTCTCCCGCCCTTGTGATCTCCTCTAAACACTGCACCATTTACCTTGCACCCTGATACTCTATGCACTTGCCACTCTAGCCCCTAACTTCACAATCATTTGACATCACATACCTGCCACCCTACTAATCTGGCAACACAGCAACTTATCCAGCTGCTCCTCTACTAATGAGGCAATCTACCTCTTACTCTTCCAGTCCCTACCCCTGGTACTCTTCTCAGCTTCTATCCTACATACCTGGCACCCAAATCCCCCGCTTTGGCCTCCTATCCTCCCACCACCCTAAAATAATACTTGCTTTACTGTTTGACAGTGGTTGTCAAAGTGGTTATCTAGGCCTTTAAATGTCAGAAGACACCAGGTGACTGCTGTGAAACGATAAAGACCCGACTACATTACCAGGGTATACTTACTGCTGTACCACACTTACTTAACTAAATGCTTGATGAGAATGTCTAGCATCTCTCGATTTTTTTCTGGAAGTTTATGAATGAGGGAATGAATTGGCTTGGTCCTGGAATTTGGGCTGGCACATTCTGCAAAAAATAGTAACAATTGTTAAAGTGTGAAGAAATGCTTCCCGATTTTATTCCTAAATGGCTGACCTCTAGTTTGGAGATTGTGGCTTCGTCGTCTGGACACTCTCACTAGAAGAACGAGTTGCTACGCAAATAAAAAAGGCCTGAATAGAGCATCCTTCAACCTTTTAAACAGAAGGTAATAAATGTCAAATTATGATAATTCTGATGACAATTTCCTTCTCTTGATCCTTTTCTCTGGTTCAATATTGTCAGATTGCAAATCCAATTTGTAGTCCTGGATGAACTTCAACTTCTTTCAGCTTAATACCAAATTTTGAAGGCATTATCTTTGACCTCATCATAAATCCTTGATACGACTTGCATTCCCTTTCCTGGTGTCTCTCCAGTTGAACAGACTGCTTCAATTTATTAATTCTGTTTGGTCTTGAGTTGAGCTTCTCAACCTATTAACTCTTCCTTCATGAAAACCAACCTTTTTTTTCTAAAAGATAGTAGGAACTGCCGATGCTGGAGAATCTGAGATAACAAGGTGTGGAGCTGGATGAACACAGCAGGCCAAGCAGCATCAGAGGAGCAGGAAAGCTGACATTTC